CCATGAGGAAATCGACATTTGCTCCAAATTGCATGTCGTTATCACCATTGTTGAAGTCAAATCCAGGCATATCATCTTGACGTTCCTTTGCATTGTTGTCGTCAAGACCAGCTTTAGAGGTTCTCTGACGTTTCATCGGAGGTTCGTCTATATCAAAGCTGCTTTAAATGTCGAGACATCCAATGACAATGATAATTACCTTCAGTTAAATCTGGTACTCTAAAGCGACTATCCATTTGGACCTTAAGAGTATGAGACCAGAAGTCCATTAAACTCTCCGCCATGACTAACGAAGTATCAATCTGACTGGTCGCCTCTGGTTACTCATATGTGACTCACATGCTCTAGGAACTCCACAAATCATCTCCTCAATTATTTTAATGCCGTCTCTCTCGAATTTCTTCAGTTCCAGCTCATTCTTGAGCACGGTTTGTCCTTGCAAGTAGTTCGTTCTAGCATTCTGCGGGGAAGTCATTCGATATAACAATCGAAGCACATTTGTGATGGACCCACTTGCAGCTCCTCATCGGTCAACTCAGTGCGAGCATCCATAACCAGACGTGTCCTCTTTGGCCTCTTTGGCCCTGTCGGGAGATCTTCGAGATCACCACCAACATCCTCCCCATCCATAGCTTCCTTCGGCAATACCCCCGGACTATCGACTAATCTGGGTGTCATCTCAAATGCATGAGGCGAGATTGGTCCAGCATCTGGAAAATAGGTTAGCATCCGAAGTTGATGATGTTAGCAAGAACGGACCGGCGCCTTGGTCAAAGGGTGCCACCTGTAAGTAAGGAAGTTAGCTAAGACCAAGATGAATGGTGGGTGACAGACATGCTCTATGAAAGCATTATTCATGCCATCGTCTTCCGGCACAATAAGACCCGCGGCCGGTTCATCCATGTTTGGAGCAAAATCACCAAAGTCCATGTCGTCGAGGGCAGGATTCGAATTCATGTTAGCGTCTAGGTTCATCTGAGCATCCCTATAAGAGGCTATTGAGATTGAAAATACTGCGCCGGACGAGTGTCTCACTGAGCCTGATTCTGACTGGGGATACCCCAGCCTTCGCCAAGTTCCTGCGCTAGCTCGTCTGCAATCCCAAGGTCCAAATCATCCGGCCCTCCAAATGGGTTATCATCCAAGGCGAAACCGAATTCTCCATTCATTTGCGACGACGAGGGGTCTGCACCAACAAACGCACTCCCTGCGAAAGAGGCATCGAATGACGTTGATAACAACTGCTCCAAGTTCTCGTCGAGTGTATGCGGGATGGCTCTGGCATCCTCGGCAATGGACATGGATTGCTGCTTATTCTTCCTTTTCGACTTTCCTCGAGACTTGCCGTATTCGTCATCGTCCTGGTCAGCGTCTTGACCTGCGTGCAATCAAAACTAAGTACTTTCTCGGACTGAGCAGATGGCACAAGGAACTCGCCATTTTGCTCAAGAAAATCATCCCATTCCTGATACGCGAGTCAGCAGTATAGTGCACAATACAGTACGTAACATACTGCGAAGAAATGATCAAAGTTCATCGCGAACTCTGCACCTGGATCTGCTTGAAGAGTAACAGCATCGGACCTGCGGGGACGATTAAGATAAACTTCCTGGTTCATAAAACAAGATAACTCACCTAACCGTGGGTTGTCCCATCTGAAGCTGGGCATCTGAAAGCGTCATGGATTGAAAGTCTTGCACTGCTTTCTTCAGAGAGTGAAAACACGTAGTGACATCGGAAAGAAATATCTCTTGCTTGACTAGCATTCAACAGTAAGTTCCAGCAATGTACACAAGACTGGTCCTGGACAAAGCACACCTTTGTACACCCTTCAAAGAGTCATGATCGTAGGAGTTGGCATGATACATCAAAAACGATCTTACCGTACGACTCCTACCATCAGGTTGCTTGATAGACGTAGTGCTAGTGGTTCTGCAGGCTCAACAATCAAACCACATAGTTGCGCGATATCGGCAGTTAGCACGGAACGCTTTGGGAGTTTCTTGAAGGAAGACTTGGATCCGAGGGTAGCGGCTAGCCTGGACGGACTGTAAGTTCCTTGCATAGGAGAGCCATCATCACCAGATTGTGCTCCTACCAGAGCAACCCAAATCCACTGTCTCTCCTGGACAGTAGCTCCGTAGAAAAGAACATCTCGATACACCGCCGAGAAAGTGTACACTATTATACTGAACTGGCGAAGGAATTCTTTGACCAAGTCAGCCCGAAGTCAGCGCGTGCGCGTCGCGCAATTATATATCGCGGAGTTGGAGCGGAGTACCAACTACTGAGTACTGATGGACGAGAGCCTCATTCCAAATGTACTACACACCCTCCGCGTTCATTCCGACTCGGATGCCTAAGTTTGTAGCGCCTCTGAACCCGATTGCACGAAGGCCTGTCGCTGAGTCTTCGGCATCGTTGTCTTCGATGTCGCGGCCGGAGAGCAGTTTTCAGGCTCGTTTGCGGCCTCCTATCCACCCGGCTTTAAGGCAACCAGGTAGCTTTGGGACGAATATTCCGGGTGGTCTAGATACTACCCCTGTATCAAGCCAGGATCTAGATGAGATGTCTATAATAGAGAAAGACACAGAGGAGCTCTCTGAGGAACAGCTGAGGACTTTGTACGATAGCGAGGAGATTGACCGCTTTTTGAATCTTTTCTCCGCTGTACGTGTAGTCTCATCTGGCCTATTTATGCTCCTTAATGGACCGTTCTATTAGTATGTTTCAGAGGTCAGATTGCCAGACGGCCCAGTGGGTACTGAAGCGCGGGCAACAGTAGAACCAACCGCCAGTTCAGACGGACAGGAGACTCCCCTCGCAACATATACATTCGATGGAGAAAGTCATGATAGTGAGGAATGGACATCTATCCGGCTTGAAATTCCTGCAAACGTTCCTCCGTTGCCTCGGCCTCCTTCAGAAGCCGCGCAAGACGTCTCTTTATCCAGACAGATTGCACTTGTAGGTAGCGATTGTCGACGCAAATCCGTGCTTAACATTATAGTAGAAATACCTAATTCCTTACTTGCCTCTGGAAACAGCGAATAGGCCAACATTTACCCTCGGCCGCCTTAGGCTTACAACTCAGCGGTTATATCTTGCGGTGGCGCCTCCTTACGAACGACTGCTCATCCGAACATGGCGTCTGGCCACTTGGCAGAAGCGCGAGACTAGCCTTCGATATTGCGTTGTACGTCTAGTACCATAACTTGGCGAGTGCCTTTGTCTGAGTCTCAATGTCAGCTGTTTTGGGTCTTGTGGTATCAAAACCTTCTTTTGCCCGCTTTTTTCGCTCGAATACTGTACGCGTTGGTTAGACGCAAAATATTCCCGTATCCAAGTCTATCCGAGTTGCGGCAGCGACGAGAAGAGGTCGGTCGGGCCAATGCATTCGGCAGGGAAGTTGGGAGATGCTTAGCTGCTCCACCAACAATTGTGGTGAATGAGCTGTGGCGATTTGTCAAGCTTGCGTCTGTTGCTCGGTTAACAGCGTCTGCGAGGGGAACCCACAGTACCGATACAGTGAAGGACTCGCAGGAAATCCGGGTCGAGACGCAACAGGCTACGACCGTGTTGGAGAAGGACACAGAGCAGGAAGAAGTCGAAGATATCAAGAGTACCGCATTATTTCTTATGGACCAGATCTCGGATTTGCATGAGCGCATTCGAAAGTAAGTCAGCTGCTATCCCAGTATGTAAATATGCGTAACGATTCGGTGCTCGTGACAGTCTGTTTCTATGGCGCCAGCCTCAATCGTGCTGGCTACTTATCCTAGTGAGTGAACTCCTTCGTTGCCTCCGGCTGCTTCTTCATTTGGTGCTGAGCATATATAACCAGATACTCGTTGTGCTTTGTCTTGTAACGGCATGTGTTCCTGCTAAGTATCTAGCAAAAGTAGCGTATGCCACTGGCGGTACTCTTTTCTGGCATGTGATTCCCATTCTGTTCGCCCTGACAGATGCCGAGAGAGCGAGGTCAGTGTATACTGCACGTCAACATGCTGGGACGTTTTCACATACCGATGCTAGATTACCCCCTCCCCTACATACCCTGCCAGCAGATGCCGACTACGCTATGGATCTTATATCTCAACGAGTAGCCCGTGGTCTTGACGTGCGGCCTTCTAGCAAACGCCACGGCAGTAGCAATTCTGTTTCGTCTCCAGCTGGTTTTGGTGAGCAACCTGGTGATGTAGACAACAATGCCAAGTGGAAGAAATGGAGCGACCGAGTGGCACACGGCAAAGCGTGGATCGAGGGAGGTCGACGGCTAATAAAGGGGCAAGAGGTAATGCGACATCTTAATGTTGTTGAATTAGCAGTACTCATGGGTTATTCAGTGGTCACGGATTGGATCTTGGCCCCCGCCCGCGCCATTGATCCCAAATCTTGCATTTGCTCACAGCGCTCCAGATCTACACGTGGAGACACACAGTAAGTTCCGGTGCTTTAGATTTCTCGTGTACTCACCATCCCGTAGCCTTTCCAGCACAGCACGCAAAAGCACCAGGATTAATCACGTTGACAACAACGAGCTTCTTCTTCACTCCGTTAATATCTTCGACGGCGAAGGTCGTCATATCGTTGGCGAGTATCCGTGCTGTCAAGAAAGTAGGCCCTATGAAGGGGTTACACATCCGCGGGATTAATGGACATTCAGACACCGAGACGGAAGAAAGATTTGCATGGGTCGGTGGACGGGACGAACTCTTTGCAAGACTTGTGAGCTGGCAGGGCCGACGGTGGATAAGGATCTAATTCCAGCCATCCGATGGTGTGTGATCATCATATCTAGTCGCTGAATCAATCATCAGTCGCAGTTCCGATATCTGACCTACATTTCTTCGACAAATATTGCACCCAAGGCGTGTCCTCCACTTTGGAAAGAGGATGTAAGGTGACTTGGGCGTGCAACTGTCGAACCGAAATATTCAAGGTTGTTGATCTAAGAACTGACAGTAGGAGCACTGGTCAATAAAGAAAGACACAAAATGTTCCGACACGGGGAATCGAACCCCGGGCTATCGCGTTCATATGACTAACTTCAATATGAGAGGCGATAATGTTAGCCACTACACCATATCGGATAGCTTTCAAATGTTTTTCAATCATATATATTACCAATGTATAGAAAAGCCTCGGTCCAAATTGTTCCGGGCATCTGCGCTAACCATCAACCCTCAGTACACCTTATTCTTTATCATTCAACCTTATTTCCGATGTTAGCAGCTAATATCACATTGATCGCGCTATGTATACCCAGGTCAATTGCCGCTGCAGCTGAAGAACTATTTGACAAACTCGAATTGCTAGATTCCGATTCACAAGACGATAATGGCATTGCAAGGCTATGCAACCGCTATTGCCGGGATCTGAGCAGTTTCTGTGATTCCGCTCTCGGTGTCCAATACACTGGCACTCCTGGGCCCCATTGCCCTGCGCGGGCTGAGCAACCCCTTCTCCGCCGCGAAGGTCGTGCCACGAGTGTGGAATGCGGGATCCGAAGGCGGGACATAGAATTTGTCTATTATGGGGATTTGTAAGAGGTTCATCTTCGGTGTAATGACGACCATGTTGTTGGTCTTGATCTCCATCCAGTCGGCTGAGATAGCGAAATAAGTAATGCGGACCAGGGGAGGAACTCTAGCACTTGCCTTTCTCGAATGTCAAAGGTTCACTCGCGATCTGTATTGTCTTTGGTGAGCTGTACAGTAATACGTGAAATATTAATGTCTACCATGATGATATTCTCGCGCTTGTCTGCCTTTGACATCTTGTAATGTCCACCTTTAGCGTATTCGCTGAACATGGTGCCAGACGAGAACCACTGAAGCTATTTGTCAGGACGAGCCATGGTCTATCGCAGGGTGGCACCTACGAGAGACGCTGCTTCGTCATGTCGTGACGAGATGTACCTCGTCGCAATCACGCTCTCACCGTCAGTGACACAAAAGTTCATCAAGCTCGGCTGAAACACGCATTAAAGGTGGTTGAGGCAGTCAATGAATGAATTACCTCGTCAATGCCAGCATCCTCGGCTAGGGCGTTCAAGTGCGCTATCGTATCAAGCATGGCTTGCTTGAGAGTATTGGTTGCGAACGTCTTTGCATCTGCATCTGGCAACTGTGAGAATATTAATGTGATTTCTAAACTGTCATTGAGATAAGCTGCCACCTTGGACAGTAAGAGCGCAAACGCCCATTCAGAATCTAGTACTTGCGAGTTAGAAAAGTCTGTAGTCACTCCACAATGTACGTATGAACCTGTGTTTCCGTTGACGACATTGTATATTTCGTCCGGAAGGGCTGCCTGGATCTTCCGCTTGATCTTTGGGAATTCCGCGATCCCGCCATTATGCATGAACTGCAAGTCGACCATGGTAGACGGTTCCATCTGCTACAAGTGTCATAGACTTACCATTAGTTTGCCATGAACGAAGGGATGGCAGTTATCGAGAGACAAGGACCCGGCGGTAGTCGCACGGACATGAGCACTGCGCATCACACCGTCAGAGTGCCGGCGACAAAGTAGACAAGAGGGCTTACAAAACAAGCGGTGACTTAATCTTCTCAGCTAGTCGTACAAGGTTTACATTATTCCATGCCTGTGGAAGGCAGATCAAGAATCATTCCTTAGTGAGGGCGGACGCACAGGACTCACAGGTGTGACAGAAGTGAATATGCAAGGCTGGCTGCCCAGTTCCTCGTCATGTACAGAGTCGTACCACCCTATACCGGACATGTGTTAGGATAGTTTGGATAACAGAGGGTGGTAGCTTATGCGCACCGACACCGAAACCATCTCCATTTATGGGCCGCCGTCGGTCAATGCGGAGACGGGAGTCAAAGGCTTGATTGATGATGGAATGGCATGGACGAGTCAAGAGCTAGATGTCATTGAGTAACTCTCAGAGCCAGCAGAACTGTCTGCTACTTACATGGCAGAGTTGCACTGCAGCAGTACCCTTGTAAATCACGAAGCGGCACATGGTCTCGAGAAGTCGAGAAGTAAAGTCACGGGTGGCAAGTTATTATGGGCTGACGCTGCTTAGATACCGCAGTAGCTTGTCGAAGCTGAGGCAATGCTCTAGTCAGAAATAAGTAGAACAGTGAGAATACAACCGTCAAGAACAAGTCAACGAGATGTGCACGAGTTGATCGCGCGCACTTCGGGTCAGAGTAAACCCGCAAGCTCCGGTTCTAATATGTATAATATTCAAGTAGAAATGCTGCTACAAAGTACCCAGGCTAATACAATGTCCTGTTCATTTCTTCTTCGTTGTTCTTCTTTCATCCAGTCGTGTCCTTCATAATGTACAATGTCGCAAAATTTTCACAGGAACTCCTTCGGCCTCTTGACAGGGTCACCGCCGGTCTCATCGTAGACAAGTCCAGCGACACGGAACGCCAGCTCTGGATATTTTCGCTAAGTCCCTCTTCATCGAGAGATAGCTTCATCGACGTACCATCCGCTTGGGCCTTCACTGTGGCTTCAGCATAAACCCTAACCACATCTTCGGTGCCACTGGGCCTAACAAAAGAGCGGCCACCATTGTATCGGCGAACAAGCTCCTCGATCTTCGCTTGAAGACCAGGCGGACTGACCAGCCTCCGTTCTGCGTCCTCTGTCTTGAAAATATTTCTGTCCCTCACGACAACCTTGACCAATCGGTTCGGTTTGTCAGAGTAAAGCGAATCCCATTCCTCCGCAGAGTAGGACTTGTGAGCGAGGACCACCTCGACGAGCAACATGTCCGACAGAGCGTCGCCCACGGTTTGATTGATGAGTTGCACCAGGTTCTTGAGATGGCCGAGAGCGGTCGACTGTGCAGGTGTCAATGGCTGGTAGGACGCCAGTTTGCCCTGAGTCTCAGGTGAGAACAAAACAGTGCCGTGACCATTGGCTTCGAAGTAGACTCCGACGTCATAGTGTTCAGCAGCATGATGGAGATGCTTGACACCCGTGGGGACACATTTGACCGGCAGACGCTGAGCGAAATTTCAGCCAACGCCGCAGGTATTTGTCAACAACAGACCAACCTCCACTAAATACTTTGTAGAAGCTCCGTTGGCGTATGCAGTCTGCACAACACCAACGTTAATCTTGCCCTCGAGACCAGCAGCCTTCACGAGCGCAACAATAAACGCGGCCACGAGAGCTGCGATCTTGTCTCCATCAAGCATATGAAACTGACTCCGTTCGTCCAAGTAAAAATAGATCAGACGATCAGCATCACCATCGAGACTGCACGCGCGCTGTCCGGGCTTGAGAATAGACAACAATGAGGGCGGCAGCTTCTGCTGTGTCTTGACAAAGTCAGCACCGCACTGGTCGTTCAGCGCACCTGGAGTCGTGGTAGCACCGTTCTCGAGAATGATTGGCAGCGTCTCGCCGAGGTGTTCCGCAAGAACGGCACCGGCCAACGCGCCAACGCCGTTAGCACAATCGATCAGGAGTGGAGTGATGGGTGCCTTTCCAGCCTACGCAAACCATATCAGATGTCTCCCTCCGTGCACAGAGCTGAGTGCTTACTACTAGCTTCTTGAATGCTCCGCTCAACTTCTGCATATACCCCTCCTCCGAATCATCTCCATACTCATCCTTAGTTCCCTTCGTATTCATCGCCTTCACAAGATAATGCAAGATCGGCGTAGTTGTGACACCAGCATTGCGCGCCTCCACTCCGATGGCCTTGAAGCCGTTTTCCAAGGCAAAGACGAGCGCGCCGCCGGAGGGCCGAGTGTCTCTGGCGTACACCACCCTAGCTGGCTTAGACAAATCGATCTTTGTCGCCTTGACGAGCGACTCCAGGGCGGAAAGGAAAGCGGGAGTGTCGGGCGCGTTAGCGAGTGTTGTTGCATGCGCCTCCCAGGAGGACTCGAGCATCTCGCCACGGGGATCGACAAGCTTCACACCATTGTCCTTTGGACGTGATAGTTAGCCTAATTAGCGGGAAATGCAGAGATATGCCTGTACGCACGGGCTCAGGATTGTGCGAGGCGGTCACCATGACTCCGATGACCTTGCCGTCTAGCTTCTTGCTCCGCAGACCTGCTAAGATGCCCACTCGGAACAGTACAGAGTCGAGCAATGCGCCCCTGGTATGCAAAACCGATCACCATAAGTGCTCAGTGCAACCGACGGAAACGTACAAAGTCCTAAACCCGGCCGTGCCATACTGGAAGTGCACATCTACTGGTTTCGGATACTCGTCGGATAGCGCTTGAATGGCTTCAACAGGCAAACCCGACATGCTTGTAGCAAGCAGAGTGAAGTTGAATGCAGTCAGACGGTGAAGAGCGAAGGGAAACAAGAGTACTCACATGGACAAGCCACTGGCGCGTCTATTTATGAGACGCGTTACGTTCACGGTTCACGGCGGTGATATCGATCAATTCAGTGCAGAATGACAACACTCAGTCGGAATTCGGAGGCTGTAAACACGATCGAGCGATCCATGCTTTGTTCCCCATCAGCAGTACTTCTTTTACAATCTCCTCGGGTATAATACAATCACTAAGATTAATTTGATATGGAAATAGAGAATAGGATAACCGGAGGGATATAATCTAAGCGCAAGATCCAAAGTCTTTTGGCTGATCCCCATTATCTTGAGGCGAAGTTGAGAGAGACGTATTGCTTTCGGAATGGTTGGTCTTCTTCTGCTCCGTTACGTAGCTCCGGAATTCCCGTGCTATAAGTCTGTCTTCAATGCTGCCCTTACGATATTCGTGAACAGAGTCCAGGTCAGGCAGCACGCCCGCTTGGTCTAGCTGCTGCATGAACCGCAGACGCGAATCGGGATAAATGAACATCCCAAAAAGTTGCCCAAACTAAAGCGAGCTTAAGTACAACAGTGCGAATGTGTAAATAAGACACGAGGACTCACCTTTACGCGTACAACAGGCGCGATGTATTCTAGATGAACATGCGCAGCGGTGGTAAAGACACGGTTCACAAAAGCAACCTCAGACGGTAAAGGTTCTTCGTCTTCCGTCCACTTCCTCCATAACTGTTGTTGAGTACTAGCGGAGTCAGACACACTGAGCAAAGAAGACACGGGCGACATGTGGTGAGGTAGTCCTAG